CACAGTTACAATAATCTGACAGATTTCAAAAAGATTGTCCCTTAAATTTAATATGTGCTAGTTCAACTTTATGAAAATTTTTAATATTATACCAGCAAAGCCAGACATGGTGGTACATGCCTATAATTCCAGTACTGGCGGGGGCTGAGCCAGGAGGATCTTGCAAGTTTGAGACCAGCCTGGCCTATATATAAGCTCAAGGCCAGCCAGAACTTCTTAGCGAGACCCTGTCTCAAAAAGACTAAAAAAACAACAACAAAAAAAAAAAAAAAAAAAAAAAAAAAACCTGTACCAGCTAATTCATTATATGTGCTGGTTTCTTTAAAAAGACATCTTTCAGGTTTTACTTACATTTTGAGAAATTAAATCTCACAGAACCCAAATCACTTACATGACTTTATTCCTTGTTTTCCTTTCCTTTTTATTGTATTAATAAATAATATAGCGGCCAAGGAAATGGCTCAGTAGAACAAGCGCTTCTCTGGCAAGCACAAGGGTCTGAGTTCAATCCCCAGTTCCACCAATAAAATAAAATAAATAATATAGTCACACTTTTAAAATTCAGAAGGATAAAGTCTTTCTCCTACCCCGCCTCTAAGATACATACTTTTTATCTCTGCAGGTAACAAAATTTTTTTTTTTTTTTTCCCCTCTGAATGCCTTCAAGGCAGGTTTGGCTGGCTTGAGTTGTGGGAATGGAACCACAGCAACCTGAGCCTGACTGCTCTGTTGAAGCAGCCACTTAAAGAACTGAGCTAAGTGGCAGGCCCCCTGCAGGTAACAAATTTATCAGTTCCTTGTATATCTTTTCAAAGGAGTTTATATCTTTGTATAAAATTTTTCTTTTCCTACTTCAGGGATTACAGGCATGCACACCACAGTCAGCTCAAATTTTTCTTTTTCTAATGGTTACACATACTTTACAATTCCATTGTGTATCTAGTATTTATCCCTTAATTGATAATGTTTGATTAGAAAGTACTGGGGGGAAAGCATTCCCAGGATGAAAGCTGTTTTGAGTATGGTGTTCTCAGATGCTAGGTGAGGAGCCAGGGATTTAGTGTCCCAGTGCCTACCTGGCAATTGTGAGGTCCTGAGTTTAATTTCCACTACCCTGCCCCCAAAAAAAGCAGCAGCCAGGTGAATCCTCTAAAATGACGTTACGCATCTAGATGCATATCTCTGGGCAGAAAATTTACACACAGTTCACATTTATCATCAAGAACTGTGACCTAAATAGAACTACTGCACTCATACACAAGTGTTCAAAAAAACCTTTGTTAAACAGAATTGTAGTCTGGGTTTTGCTACACTTTCTCTGTACAGAATAGAGAGCTTAGGTAAGTTCAACCAATATAATACAAATTTCTTACCTACTTTCTAAAATTTTTTTCAATAACTAAGAGTAAAACTGACCAATTTGACCTATTTCTTTTCTGCGAAGAGGTCTGCTTTTCATCAGTACCATGTCCAGAAATACTAAAGAAAAGAGCCATAATTAAAAAGTATCTGGCCAGCCAAATAGCTCAGCAGGCTGGGAATTCAATCCCTGGGCCTTTTCTGCTGCTCCCCGCCCCCACTCCCCCCCCCCCCGCACACTGAGACAGCAACTGTGACTGGGTGTAGTGGTGTGTGCCTGTAATCCTAGCTCTTGGGAGGCTGTAAAAAGGCGGATCACTATGAGTCCAATCTAGTAGTGAGACCCTGAACACCCTTTAGACCCTTACCTAAAATACAAAAAAAATAAAAATAAAAATTTTTTAAAAGTAAGTATCCATTGCTGGACCGGGGAGATAGCTCAGCGGTCCAAGCACCTATATGGCAAGCACAAGAACCCAAATTCAATCCCCAGTACCGCATGCCACACTGGCCCAGCACCAAGCCAGCCACGGAAACATGGCATGGTGGCCCACACCTGTAATTCCAGTGCTGGGGAGGCTGAAACAGGAGGATCACTCCAAGTTCAAGCTGCATGGTGAGATCCTGTACCAAATAAATAAGTAAATAAAAGATTATTAAAGAAAAAAGAAAAAAAAAGTATCCACTGCTTCTCAGCCTTTTGGCTAAGATCAAGTGTAAAAAGTACCCAAACCAGGCATGGTGGTGCAGGCCTATAGCCCCAGCATTCGGGAAAATGAATCAGAATGATCCCCAGAAGTTCAAGGCCAGCCTGGGCTACGTAGCAAGACCCTGTCTCAAAGTACTCAAAAAATAAATAAATAAATAAGCAATAATTAATAAAAACTATCAAAAGTTGTCTTTCAATCTGTCATTCACCATAATTGACACCAAAGATATCTCCAATCCTCCTTAAAATCTACAATACTTTCTGCAGAGTCCTTTCTGAAAACACAGGTCACTGGAAGCTGGGCAAGTGCGTAACATATGCCAACTCACAGAATTAAGAATGCAAATTATTATACACTACCATGTTCAACCCTCAAAACAAACATTTACAATATCTATCCTTCTCTGCCCTGTTTTAAAGACGGGAAACAGAAGTTAAGAGATTAAAGTTAGTCTTTCGGGTCCTCCTTTCTCTTTCAGGTCCTCCTTTCCAAGATGACAAAAAAAGAAGGAACAATGGTCGTGCCAAAAAGGGCCGCAGTCATGTGCAGCCTATTCACTGCGTACCCAAGGATAAGGCTATTAAGAAGTTTGTCATTCAGAACATAGTGGAGGCCGCCACCATCAGGGACATTTCTGAAGTGAGTGTCTTCGACGGTTATGTGCTTCCCAAGCTGTATGTGAAGCTGCATTACTGTGTGAGTTGTGCCATTCACAGCACAGTGGTCAGAAATCGATCTCGTGAAGCCTGCAAGGACCGAACTCCTCCACCCCGATTTAGACCTGCTGGTGCTGCCCCACGACCTCCACCAAAGTCCATGAAAGGGGAGCTGGGGCTTAATGGACTGAAGAAAACTCTTGAGAAAGAAATAATAAATTGAATGTTATACTTTATACAATATGTTGAGTATACCTGCCAGAGGTGGGTTGGGTTAATTCAGCCTATCCAAGTTTAAGTTTGTACTCTGAAAATGAATAAAGAGGAACACACTGGAAGGGGGAAAAAAAAAGAGATTAAAGTTAAACTGATCCTACCAATTTGATTTGAAACTGTCTCATTGATATTTATTTCTCAATAAAATTATTGAAAAAAATAAAATAAATAAATAAATAAAGTTAAACTGATCCAAAACCACATAACTATTACACTATACAAATACACTAACATCTATAACATAACTATAAACTATCAAATCAAACTAAAACATTTCTTCTTCTTCTTCTTCTTCTTCTTCTTCTTCTTCTTCTTCTTCTGTTGTTTTTGTGTTTTTGAGACAGAGTGTCACTATGCTGTTCAGACTCATCTTGAACTCACTTTATAGCACAGGCTGTCCTCAAATTCATTGATCCTCCTGCCTCAGCCCCCCAAGTACAGGGATTACAGGCCTGAGCCATCCTGCCAGGGTCACATTCTTCATATTTTTTCCTTATTTGGTACCAGGAATTGAACTCAGGACCTTAAAACCTCCAAATCTCATCAACTTTCAAAAATACCATGGGGCCTGAATTCCAAAATGTGATGATGATTATATTATGGAAATGATACAACGTAGTGGTCAAAAACCTACTTTTAACTGTAATTCAATCATCTACCAGTTACATGGCAAACTTCAACTTATTCTGGAATGAAATGAAAAATATGGCTGGGCATGGTGGCTCACATCTGTAATCCCAGTACTTGGGAGGCTGAGGCAGGAGGATCACTGTGAGTGTGAGGTTAGGCTGGGCTACATAGTGAATTCAAGGGCAGCTTGAACTGAATAATGACACCTTGTCTCAAAAAGATTTTTTTTTTAAAAAATAAAAACAATGTACTTAAAGCAAACAGTTTAAGCTACATGTGGAAGCATGTGCCCCTAATTCCAGCTCAGGAGGCTGAGGGAAGAGGATCCCAAATTCAGGCAATTTAGCAAGACCCTACCTTAAACTTCTATAAAGGTTGGGGATGCAGCTCAATGCAAAGGCCCTGGGTTCAGTCCCCAGTACAGGGAAAAATAAGCAAACAGCTCATTGGGAGGTGGTTGATTCAGGGTAGCTATTATCAACATTATTTTCATTTTTTGCGAACAAATACACCTGAAAAATTTTCAAACTTGCCATGAAACTTTTTCCCTTGGAATGTTAGCACTGTGGCAAGCTAATGATTTTTAAACAGCTATGCCTGATTAAATGAATACCTTCCAGTTTATGGAGCGGCTTAATTTGTCCTTTACAACTATTTCAAACCGTATCCACCGCCATCACGTCTTTTTTGCCAACTAATTATTTCACTCTCCATTTGTTTGAATGTTTTACACAAAACGAGGCACTGAAGTTTTCAGAGCCAAAGTTTTTTTTCCACATTAGGTGGTAAGACATGACAACTGTCAAACATTATATGTTTCTACTCGCTATGTTTTTCTTTTACTGGCAAACTATATTATCCTTTAACTCCTACAATTTAATCTAAGAAAACAAAAACATCTTCCACACGCCATCCGGTCTGCACACGGCTGAGAAGAGTTCGGGAAACGGTTGATGAAAGTAGAAGGCCTGAGACAACTTACGCAACACAACACGAAGTTTGCTATATTTTCATCCTGAGGACCCAAAGCTTGAAATTTGCGCTTTAGGAAACATGCAGCCTGAGATTTGGGACAACGAGGCACAGCAGTGCAAACTTAATGCTGCGTCCCCAAATCACAGTGAAGTCCTCCTTCCTCCCTTCCCCCAAGGGTAGCAAAAAAAGAAAGGGGCCGCGCGCAACCGCAATCCCTGCAGAGCTGCGGCCGGAGCCGGAGAGCTCGCGGGCCAGACAAGTTGTGCGCCGGGTGCCCGGTGCGTGGCCCCTTCCAGCCTCCGCTCCCCCACCCTTCCCACCAGGAACGCCCAGTCCACACCCGGCCCGCAGTGTCCCATGCCCGCGACACGCACAGCCTGCCCCGGGGACTCACCATCGCAGCCCCAGGAGGAAGGAGCAGGCGGACAGGCCAGCGGGCTGGGCAGTCCGTTAGCGGAGCTCGGGATCCATTGGCGCCAACAACTTCTCCCGCGAAGTGGAAGAAGGGGCGGCGGCGCGCGGCGATGACGTCAGGAGGCGCGCGCAGCCCTTTGGCCCCGCCCCGAGCGGGAGGTGCGACGCGCCCCGGAAGCCGGCGCCACGCGGCGCTCACCCAGGTGGCTAACCTGCAGGGTTTGGGGCCGTGACACCCAAGCATGGGATCTGAGATTGGACTGCAGGCAAAGCCCTGTACCAGGATCCTTACGGCCACATGTCTGCAGGGTACTTACCATCCCCCACAGTGAGATAACTTTTTTTTTTTCAAACAGGATCTCACTGGGTAGCCGAGCCTGGCCTCGAATTCTTGGCGATCCTCCAGCCTCAGCCTCCCAAGGGCTGGGATTACAAGCGCGCACCACCATGCCCAGCCGAGATAACATTTTTGGTGATGTTTTGGTTTTGTCGGTATTGGGACTTGAAGTAGG